CAGGCTGACTGCCCCCAGGGCTGCCCCGCTGGTAGCATGAAGACAAGCAGCTCTGCGACATTACCCACCCAGAAGTCTGTGCAGTGGTTTTGAAGCATGGTCCCAGGGCTTGACCAGCAGGTGCTCCTTGCACGCATTTATCTGTAGATGGGGCTTGGCCAGGCTGAGATGGACGATGAGGGCTCAGGGCTGCCTCTAGGGGGAGGGGAGCATGAGGGGACTGTGGCAGAGGGACACACCCAGCTGGTTAAAATGGGCTGAGGGGGCAGAAGACCCCTGGGCTGAAGACCCTAAAGGAAGAGTTTGGTACCACTCTTTGACAAAGAGATGGCAGGCCAGCAGTGACAAAGAAGTGGTCTTGAGTGCTTTGTGATAGTATAATTATTTTTAATTGTGTTCTTTAAAGGCAAATTAAAGGCAAAAGTCTCCTTTGACTACTATTCCATCATGGTCTCCTTCCCAGCTCCTTGTCAGTTTGATATGCATCCTTCTAGAACATTACTCTCCTGTCTGTACACTTAAAAGTACCTAGCGTGTTTGTGGTTTATATAAAGGTATTGTGCCATGTTCATTGCTGTGCTTTTTTCCTTTTTTTTTTAACCAAACAATAATATGTCTTGGAGAACTTTCCGTAGCAGGACGTACCCAATTCTTTATCTGCTGTGTGGTATTGGAGAGCACGTGTTGTGTAACCCCACCCCCACCCCATCCACTTTTCCCAGTTTTCAGGCCATAGACCACCCTGCAGGGATGGGCCCCTTTGTGTCCATAAGTGAGGGATTCTCTAGGGGCATTGCTAGAGTCACACACTGCGTGTTTTTAAGTTTTAACAGAAATTCTCAAAATGCCCCCCAGAGTAGCCATATCAATGTATCCTCTTCTGAGAGGGCCCAGGCTCCCCAACGGGAGTCCTACAGCATCCAGGCCCTCCCTGGTGTGTGTCCCTGAATCAGACAGAGTGCGTGCTGGTGACACCCCAGCGACAATTCCCTGTGTGACCCTTGGACTAGTCACTTGGCCTCCTGCAGCCCTGATGTCATCCACACCAGTCTGTTTTGTTGTGAGGACAAAATGAGATAAAGGATGGAGTATTTCTAACTTGGAGACCTTGGTAGATGTGAAGTCTTCCTCCTGCAGGGCTGACCTTTACAGAGGATTTCCTGCCTGGCCCACGATCCCCTTTCTAATGAGATAATCTTTTTGGTCCCTAAGAGTAAGAGGCATCATCTCTGGGAGTGGGGATGGAAGTCTGTAGGAGAGTGGGCTTGGCTTGCAGGATATTCCAACTTTGGGAAGTTACCCCATCTCTCACCTGGTGTCCCCACCTCTCTATCCCAGGGCACGTGGAAGAATGCCACAAGGGAGAAGCTCCAGGTCCTGGGAAGTATGAGCAAGGTTCTGCAGCTAATCAGGGAGGAGATAAAGCTTGCCTCCCTGCCTCCATGTCTGGCCCCAGACTGTAGCCTGGTGTATGTGGTCCCCTGCCTGGCACCCCCACTGCCCTGCTGTCCTGAATTCTTCACTGGGACTAGACCTGTGGGCTGTGGTATTATCTGTCAGCTCACTAGGCCAAGCAGACACAGCAGTGACTAAGATGGACAAGGTTCCTGCTGACATATATCATTCTGTCAGCAAAGTATAAATAAGTAAACAAGGTCATCACAGAGTGGGCTGAGTGCCGTGAGGGAAGAAAAATGGATAAAATGGTAGAGAACAGAGTTGGGAAGCACTTGGGACTTTTCTGGTGGTCTGGTGTTTAAGACTCTGAGCTCCCAATGCATGGGGCCCAGGTTCAACCCCTGATCAGGGAACTAGATCCCACATGCCACAACTAAGACCTGGTGCAGCCAACACACACACACACACACATACACACAAAGTTGGGAAGCACTTCATATAGACTATCATAGTCTGTTTGGGCAACTCTAACAACAACAAAAAAAAAACCCAGCAACAGGGGGACTTGTAAACCACAAAAATTTATTTCTCACAGTTCTAGAGGTCGGAAGTCTAAGATCAGGGTGCAAATACGGTGGACTTCTGGTGAGGACCTCTTCCAGGTCGTAGACAGCCAATTTCTGTGTCCTCTTATGATGGAAGGGGTCAGGGAGCTCTCTGGGGTCACATTGTAAGGGCACTAGGGCACTAATCTCACTCATGAGGACTCCATTCTCATGACCTAATCACCTCCCAAAACCCCACCTCCACATACCATCACCTTGGGGATTGGGATTTCAACACATGAATTCGAGGAGACATAAACATTTAGAGCACAGCACAATGTGGTCAGAAAGGCTCTTCTGAGGTGTGGAAGCTGAGACCCTCAGTGAAGCGGGACTCTATGGTTGTTAAGTCTTAGAAACTCACTCAGAGTCAGGAACACACACGACCAGTCACGACCACTGGCTTGCCTAGTGAGGAAGTCTAGGGGTGGATGGGTGAGTTTAGGAGTTTAGATCCTTTTCATCAAGAATCGCCACCCATCAGACCTGCTTTGTTGTGCTGGTTTCATTTGCACGCATCTTCTCTCCCTGAATGCCTTTTCTGCAAATCCCCCAAAGGACAGTAGACAATGACCCGGATCGGGATTCTGATTGGGGTCAGAGGATCATTCCTGAACCACACTCAGTAGCCAAACCTGGCTCATGAGACGACCCCAACAATGGACTGAGGGGGCAGAGGGCTGAAGGTCCCAGGAGGAAGGCCTGTACTCAACTTCTCGAGTTGCTGTTCAGTCACTCAGTCATATCCAACTCATGCACTGCAGCACGCCAGGCTTCCCTGTCCTCACCATCTCCCAGAGTTTGCTCAAACTCATGTCCATTGAGTCTTTATGCCATCCAACCATCTTGTCCTCTGTCGTTCTCTCCTCCTGCCTTCAATTTTTCCCAGCATCAGGGGCTTTTCCAGTGAGTCAGCCCTTCACATCAGGTGGCCAAAATATTGGAGCTTCAGCTTCAGCATCAGTCCTTCCGATGAATATTCAGCATTAATTTCCTTTAGCATTGACTGGTTTGATCTCCTTGCATCCAAGGGACTCTCAAGAGTCTTATCCAACAGTTCAAAATCATCAATTCTTCAGCACTCAGACTTCTTTATGGTCCAACTTTCACATCCATATATGACTACTGGAAAGTGAAGAGGAACTAAAGAGCCTCTTGATGAAGGTGAAAGAGGAGAGTGAAAATACTGTCTTAAAACTCAACATGCAAAAAACTAAGATCATGGCATTCAACTTCTAGAGAAAGGCCAGCAAACCACACTCATCTCTCCCAGGAATTTCAAGGGTAAAAAGTCAGTTACAAGATAGGGGGCAGGTATGGGGAGCCCCTGGCAGAGGGTGAAGAACTGGAGTGGGGAGGAGAGCTCAGCCTGTTAGCGGTAGCCACGAGTGCCCCTCACTTCTCCCAGTGCCTTTTCAAGCCTCCTGTGTCTCCTTGTTTCTCTGTCACAGAACACTGGGATTGAATCCGGGTTCTCTGCCTGAAGGCTGGGGCTCTCCTTCCTGGGTTCTCCCTGATTCCACATTACAGGAGGCTAAACAGACATGACGATTAAATGTGATACCTGGCCCTAGACTGAATCCTATATTAGAGGGGGAAAAATGCTATAAGAGACTTTATTAGGTCATCTTATAAACTGGAATATAGATTGCAGATTAGATAAAAGTATCTGTCAATTTCATGTTGATAACTACTGTGGTTATGTAAGAGAATATCCTTATTCTTCAGAAGTACACACTAGAGTTTTGGACATAACTTACCCTCAAAAGCTCTAAAAAAAACAAGTACTCACACTCACATGGATACACACTCAGAGCAAATGCTAGAACAAACAGGTATATTGGATGCTCCTTGTACTATTTTTATTTTTGCAACATTTTACAAATTTGAAATTGCTTTAATAAAAAGTCAAATTAAAGTGTGCCAGTGGAAAAAAGAGACATGATTCCCTTTATTTGCAGATGATATTGAATATCTATAAAACCCTAAGAGGATCTAGTTAAAAATGAAAATGAATAAAAACAACCCCACCCAGAATTAATAAGAGAACTTGGCTGTATACAAGATAAATATATAACAATCAATCTCAGATTATTCTCCATCATATATTATTATAAGATTTGAATATAGTTCTCTGTATTATACGGTAAATCTTTGTTGCTTATCTATCTTAAGTAGCTTGTACCTGTTAATCCCATTCTCATAATTTATCTCATAAACTGAAAACAAAACAAGACGGAATCACTTTTGGTTTGTGTTCTCCACGATAATTCAAGTTATATAGTCATGACTTCTCTTCTGTATGTTTGCTATACCTCAGTTAAACTTAAAACAGAATCACTTTGCTGTAGACCTGAAACTAATATAATATTATCAATCAACCATACTTCAATTAAACAAGAGTGTGTTTCTCCCCAAAAGAATCACAGAATGTTAAAAGAGATCGTTGCTTCTCCTCCTGGGTGGGCTCTGGGCTTCCCTGGCTACCTGGAGAGAGGGAAAACCAAACAGCCAAAGCAGGTAGGGCCAGAACCTGCCCTTGCCACAACAGCCAGTGTCCTCCTTGAGGCCTTCACAGAATCCAAAGGAGCCCAGTGCCATGTCTACAGAGACATGTTCAGTCTCCACTAGAAAAGGAGTTGAGTGACCAGACACTGTACTCAGATTCAGAGACCTAGGAACAGCACAAGGACACCAGCAGAGGCACAGCTCCCCAGAGGGGTCTACCCTCCCTTCCCTTCCCCCTCTTCTCCCCTTCCTCCCTCCCCACTTCCTCTGTCCCTTCCTCCCTCTCTCTGGCTGTCTCTGCCTCTCTCTCACACTCACACCCTATACTCCCATGCAATCAGGAAGAGAGGCTCTGACAACAGGAAGTCAGAGGGTACATCCTGAGGCCCCCAAGAACTTCCTGGCACTGACCTTAGTGACAAAGGCAATGCAATTTTTGGGTGGGGGCGGCGCACAGTGTAGACTGGTACACAAGGAAGACACCTCATGGCAGAATAATAATAATTATTATAATAACAATATCATACATCCAGGACAAACCCAGCTGCCCCAAGCCAACCGCACAGTCCAAGTCTCTGGGTAGACGGAGGGGCTGCCTGCCTGCACCCACAGGCCTTACTCAGACCATCTACTGGAAGAGGGGCCAGCCCCTCCTCCTGCTCCCTGCTGAGGCCTGGCACGCGGTGGGGAGGCTGGCACTGCCAATGCCTCCCCTCCGCGCTGGGCACACCTGCACTGGGGGCTAGGCCCACCTCCCCCTGGTGGCCTGGCAGCGAGGGCTGGATGAGCAAGCCCGTTAAGGGACCAAGAGGTGCCAGCTGTGGGGTGTCACTCCTCTGAGTCTCCTCTCTGCCCCTCCCACCTCTTCCTGCGGGCCTGCCCGTGGCAGGAAGGGGCCAGGGACACTCATGGCACAGACACGGCATGCAGAGCGGGCCCATGGCATGCTTGGCCCGCCAGGTGCCATGCAGCCGGCCTGGACTTTTGGGTAGCTGTCAGAGGGCAGAGTGGACAGTGGAGTCCGAAGCGCTCCCCTTGGGCTGGGCTGCTGATTCCACTTGGGGTTCAGGCTGCTGGGAGTTGGGTCCTTGGGCAGGCAGCTGCAGAAATTCTGGAAGCACTAGGTCCTCTTTGCGCAGAAGGCCCCTCTGGTCATGGGCTCCACAGCTCTGTACTCGGTTCAGCAGCTCCACCAGTCCTGGGGGTGGTGGTAGAGTCAAGGGGCCCATGGATGCAGACCTACCTATGCTGGCCCACCACAGACCCACTGCCCTTACTGTGGCCACAGTCTCCCTAAACCCAGCATTAATGCTCCCTCCTTGCCCCCATCCTGGCCTTTCTGATCCCTCAATCCCAGGGGACCCTGTTCCAACCCCAGTGACATCCAGGCCCCTGCCTCAGCTCAACGCTCTCTGAGGCTACCAACCTTCAATAGTCCTCAACCATTCTGGTCCCTAGCCGCCACTGCTCCCAACGTACCTTCAATGTCACAGGTCTGCCGCTTTCCAGTGATACTACTGGGCACTTGGGCCAGTGAGTTCAGGGACGGTGGAGGGAGGTTGGTGGCCTTGTCCTGGATTCTAGGCGGTCCACCCTGCGAGAACGTGGGGTTGAAGCCATAACCAGGAGTGGAGACTGATGGGCAAAGGAGGGCACCCTGACCCTGGCTCACCTGGCTGTGGCAGGGGGGTATGTCGCCAGCCTCAGGGATCTTCACACCTGCAGCAGAGAGTGCCACCATTCCTGTTTGTCTCCTGCCTGGACCTCTTGGGCCAGAGGTATGCTGGGGGACCAAGCCATGGGGCCAACATCCCTTACCTGGGAGAGTGTCCAAAACCAATCTCTGGGAGGCCACCGAACTCACTAGCTTCTCCAGATCCAGCGGCTGCTTCTCGCCTGGCTGAAGGGACAGGTCAGTAGCCCTTGGGACCAGCAGCCCGCCCCGCTCCGCCCCGGTCCCTCCACCCGGCGGCGGCTTACCAGGCGCAGCGCCACCTGATGCGGGCTCAGGCCGTGCTTTGTCAGGATGGGCTGTAGCGCCTCCTGCAGCCGCTTGGTGGGCTTGGCCGAGATCCGCACCAGGCGCTCCAGCGCCGACACCTCGAGCCTGCGCGGGACCCTAGAGCTGCAGAAGGGTGGAGAGCCCGCCGCGCCTCTCCCCTAACCCACCAGGGACTGGCCAGAGAGGGGGCGGAGCCTGAACTGGGGCGGTGGGACCGATGGGAGGTGGGGCCTCAGCCTAGGGGGCGGGGCTAGCACAGGGGCCGGACTTGGAAGGACAACAGCAGTCCGAACTGAACTGGGACCGAAGTGAGTGCTGGGACCCTGGGCTGAGGTGACAGACACTTACTCGAGGGTGATTCTGTTCTCCAGCCGCACTTCCTGGTCTGCCAGCACGGTACAGTCCTGATCCAGGACTAGGGCCTTCTGCAGACACAGAGGGGCAGAATCTCAGAATTCCTTCTCCTTCCCCCTTCCCCCACCCCAGGTCATCCTCACGTCCTTCCATGACCACTCTGGAGGCTTCCTAACAGTCAGAGGGAAGGGCTGATGGTCGGGTGAGCCACAGAGATGCGGACAGAGTAAGAGACCAGGCTGGATCAGAGCCTAGAATGGCCCAGACCAGGGAGAAGGGTGGCAAGAATGCTGGAAAGACTTGGAAAAGGAGCAGAGTTATTGGAAACATGGAGGTGAGGTAAGCAGGAACTAGTAATGGGGCTGCTTGGTAAAAAGGGTCAGCTTAAGGGCTGGAAAAAACTACCTCTTCCTGAGCCAGGTGAGGATCTGCCCCCTGGACAGCTGCCCTTTGTCCCTCAGGCATGTGAAATTTAACTGGGCCAGCTGGACACATTTCCTCCCTCACCACCCACCTTTGGTCAGCCACCCAGGCCTTGTCCTTATTTTTTTTACACTTGTCCACTTCTCTCCATTCCCACCTACTAAGGACACTTCTTGTTTCCTCACTGCAAAAAACGAGCTCATCCCTCCAAGACACCTGTGAGGCCAGAAGGATGTGAAGTATCTTACACAGTGCCTGACACATAGTAGGTACATAAAAGTAGTGGTAGTGATCACCACCTGGCGACCTGCACCAGCCCAGGGCTGGGAGGCAGCCTCTCCCAGGGAATAGGCCTGTGCTGTCTGCAGGGACAGGTGGAGTGTGGGTGGGGAAGTTATATTTAGCAGACATGAGAACCCATCTGGGTTGTGGAGGCTGTCTGGGTGGCCAAGAGATGGGCAGAGTTTCTCCCACTGTGGCCCTCACACTCCTGTGCCCCAGGCCTCTGAATGTGCCCAGCACTTCTTATATCCCCCTATGCTCTAATGTCCTTCCCCCACAGCTCTGCCAGGCAAACTCATCGTCATCAACCACCACCTCTTCCCTGAAGCCTCCTGGGACCACCCAGAAATGCCTACCTTGCCCCAGAAACTCTCTGGAGGGTCAACTCCTCCTCCCTGATCACATTCTGCCTGGCTCACCTCCAGCCTTTGGACCTGGAAGACCCTGGGTCCCTCTGCTCACTCACCTGGCAGGGCCTTAGGATTGTCTACTGGGTGAATGATATTCTGATAGTTCTCCCTGGGATATGGCAACCTTCCTTTAGATTCCCCCTTACTGGATGGTTTAATTTAAGTTTAAAGCTATGCTAGTTTGTACCAAAAGGAAAATTTTTCATAGGCTGGATGAAGTTGGGCTTTCCCGGAGGGAGGGAGGGGTCTCCAAATGGCCATTTCAGGAATGGGCAATCTGAAGTCTGGGGGTGACAGGGAAAAACACAGCTCCAGCAGTGGTTTCCCCCACTCTTGCTCCCAGAGACTATCATAGTCTCTGGATATGGACGAAGCTGGAAACCAGGATGGGAATGGGATGGGGCCAGGATTTTTGTGGGGTAAGAGTAGATACCTGAATTTGAGTGAGGAGTTGGTGCTGGATTGATTTGAAGTTGGGCATGGGGCTGAAAGTTGTAGCAAGAGCTGGAGTCAGGAAGGGGATAGGGACGGGGGATGGGGTTAAAGTTAAAGATGGAATTGGTGTTGGGGTCACGGCTGAGCAGAGACAGGAATGGGGAGGGCAGTTCAGGATCAGGAAGGGATTTAGAGTTGGAGACCAGGCCAGATTCACACCTGCTCATTGCCCACCAGGTAGACCTTGATGTCAGGTAGAGAGAGGCCTCGTTTTTCACAGATGCCTGCCAGCATGTCACGGATGGTGAGGCCGGGTCGGGCCAGGGCCAAGGAGGCTGTGCCATCAGGCAGGTATACGCAGCAGTACTTCCCTGGTCGGCTTTCATTCTCACATTCTGAGCTCCCAAGGCTCTTCCGGTGGCTCTGATCCAGAGCAGATGTCAAGGGAAGTGATGTGTACACATGCAAGGACACAAAGACAGGTACACAGGTGAGCTCACTGGGGCACACACGTGCCCAAGGGCACACTTGCAGGCAGGCAGGATACATCCTCCTATGGGAATACATGTATGCTCACCCAAGCCTATGGGCACCCCAGGGACTGGTCTACCCACCGACTGCTTGCTACACACACGCTGTATACACGTGGTCACCCACACATGCACACACAGGCTGAAGAGTTCACCCATAATATGCATGGGGCCCAATGCAGTGAGGACAGGAAGAAAGTAAGGAGGCTGAGTTGTTGGCCATATGGATCAAGTAGGGGATGAAGTGGGGCTGGTGACGGAGAATGAAGGTGGCCACTCAAAGGGGTAAGAGTCAGTGACCTGGGTCCACACCTAGTCTCCCCTAGCAGTTGGCTTACCTCAGATTTGCTGCTGGTAAAGGCAAGGTAGCCCAGGTCCAGACTGGCGGAGGAGTTGAGCGATCCCTGGGACTCACGGCGCAAGGCTGAGTTGGCCGTCCCGCCGGCTAGTTCTAGAGGAGAGCAAGACTGAGAGGAGGACAGGCCCCCTCTCCTCATCCCTCTGCTGAGGCCTCTCCGCACCCGAGCGGACCCTGTTGGAGCCCTTTTGCAGGGGTCTAACGGGGTTTGGGTTCCTGGAGGCTTCGCTACTGACAGGGGCTCCCCAAACTTCTGGGTTCTAGCGTGGGAACAGAACCACCAGGGGAACGTAGCGGGGTGGGGGTGGGGGGTCCACAGGGCCCTGCATTTCGATTTTCACTGACTTAAACTGCGGGATCAGTAGGAGGAAGGGAGTGTTTGTTCTCCAGACTTGCCCAGATTCCTGCCCTCGCTACCTCTGCCGTCCGCTCCTGCCCTCACCCCTGCGGAAGGACTTGCGGAGCTGGCGGCCCTCAGCAGGCGGCAGCTGCCCCAGCTCCTCCACGCCCAGCGGCAGCGACTTCCCGGGCTTCAGCTTCGGCTTCTGCAAAACACACGCAAGGCACTGGCACTGCGCGGGGCGCCAGCCCGCAGGCCGACCGTGGGCGCCCCCCGCAGATCTGCACCGAGACACCGCCCCCCACAACCCCGCGTGCGCACCTTCCTCGTGGCGTCTGGGCTGCCGGGGCGCCAGGAGCCAGGTTCCCGCAGAGGGCGACCCTCGGCCTCCGCCAGGAGGCACTCGCGGTACAGAGGGGATTTGACGAAGCGCGCATAGCTGTCGAACTTCATCAAGTTGAAGATCTGCGGAGGCGGCGCCGGGCGGTGAGCTGCGGAGAGCACTCAGCGAGCCGCCTGGGTTCCAGACCCGGCCCTGGGGCTTGGTTGCATCGCCAACTTCGGGGGCGAGCCCCGAGCCCCTCCTTGCCCCAGGCGCCGCCCTTCAGCCCTTCCTTTACAGTAGACTCTCGTCTTCCCTCTGACCCACGCCCTGCCCCTACCTTTAGCCGAGTGCCAGCATCCAGACCTGCTCTCTTCCCCACCCCACCCCCACCATCTCTGCCGCTCAGGCTCCGCCCCTGGATCTGGCCCCGCCTCTGCCCCGCCCAGCTCCCTTCAGAGGCGACGCCCCTTACCCCAGGCCCCGCCCCCTGGGACCGCTTACCTGAAGCTGCTGGGCGCGGAACATGTCCGGTCGCGGTTCTGCCAGCACCTCCTCGCCGAGCCAGGCTTGCCGGTCGATGTTCACGGGGCTCAGCGCCTGGCTGGACAGGAACTCCTGGTAGATGTTGCGGGCCTCCTGAGCTAACTGGGGCAGGGACGGACAGGAGAAGGTCAGGGGCATGGCTCAGGGCTTGGTCCCATCTCTCGCAGCCTCAGCTCCCCCTTCTCCGCACCTGCTGGGTGTCGCTGGCCGGGATCTGCTGGAAGCGCTCGCAGGCCTTCCAGAAAGTCACATTCTCAGCACTGAACTCCTTCTTCAGGAACTCCTGGGGGTGGGGAGAAGGAGAGGCAGGTGGAGACCCAGAGACCTAGTCAGGAGATGTGGTCAAAGAGACTGGGATAGAAAGAGGGCCCAGAGACCAAGCCAGACAGACAGATGGGATCAGATCCAGAGGCACAGAGAGGAAAAACAGAGGCAGAGAGAAGGAAACTTCCCAGTTGGGAGAAGAGCAATGAGTGCCAAAGATAGGCTGGATGAGGAAGCCAACAGAGGGGTCCAAATCTGGCCAGCCTGAAACTCCAGCCATGCCTCCTCCCATGCACCCCCGCCCGCCCTTCCCCCCATGGTGGCCACTGCCATCCGCCCTCCCTATCCCACCCCAGGGCTTACGGTGAAGTAAGCCAGGCCCAGTGGGTCCTGTAGCAGCCGCTCGAAGGACAGGCCCCAGCTGGCCACAGGCTGCTCCTCGGTGGGGAAGGGGCTGCTGGGGCCACTGGGGAGGCTGTGGATGCTGAGGGAGCTGCCTCGGCCCTCGCCCTGGCCCTGGGGCCCAGTCGTGCTGCTCAGCTCTGCAGGGGGATGGACAAGTGCAGGTGAGCCTTGAGGCCTTCCCCAGCCCCTGGCCCAATCCCATCTCAGGTACTTTCCCTGGAAAGACAGCAAATGGCAGGGGTATCCCCACCCTTTCTCCAAATACAGCCCCCTCAACCCCTACCCCCAACTCCAGCCAGGCTTTCTCTATACACTTTGTCACTTACCTCCATCGGAGACAGCCAGAACCTATAAGAAACCCAAGGCAGAAAGTCAGAGGAGAGCCCTGGGTGGATTCTCAAGGGACAGTTTGAGGCCCAGCCCCTGGGACTGAAGCTGTGTTCTCATCTGCCTGGAGGGCCACGCTGGGCGTCCTCAGCCGAGTCACTGCTTGCTCAGGGTTTTGCTCAGGCTGCCCTGGGCTCCCCTTCCATCACGTGCCAACCACCTTGTGTGCTAGGACTTATGCCAGGTACCCTCCAGTCACTCATGGTTGACCCCTAGCTCCCACTGGGTGAGCCTGGGTGTTGAGTATGGTGGGTAGGAGCATAAGGTTTGAATCTTACTTCTGTTACTTCCTAGCTGTGTGACTTTGGGCAAGTTACTTGTTTGTCTCCATCTGTAAGTGAGGGGGGGATGATAATAATAGTGACTCACTTCCTGTGCCTGCCACTGAAGGTCAAATCAGCTTAATATATTCCCAGCATCTACAACAGTGGCCAGCATGTGGCAAGTGATACATCGATGTTTGCTGTTTTCTTTGAGAAAGGAGAGATTACCTGTGTAACTGATGATCTCCTTATTGTAACTGTTTCTTCTTGGAAACACCCTACCTTGGGCAGGGCATGGGGTTCTATTTTATAGTAGAGAGCAGTGGTTCTTAAATTTTAGTGTGCATTAGAATGATGGAGGGGCACCTCTGGAGCTTCAGGCTCTCCATTTCTACTATCTGAGCCACCAGGGAATCCCCCAAGGCTCTCCATTTCTAACAAATCCCAGGCAATGTTGATGTGGCTAGTTATGAACCTCACCGTGAGTAGCTACAGAGGTCAATCCCATCCTCTGTGCCCCCTCCCTCACTCTCCACCCCGGGTGCACAATTCTGACTTCTCTGGGAATCCCAACCATCAGTGAAACAGAAAAACCCTCCTTTCAAAATGACTCTTGCAGTGGTTTCCCTTGGTCTTCCTACCTTCCTTAGCAGCTCCTCCAGCTTCCTCATTATCTATACATGCAAGGTGGCCTTTACCCTTCTCTGACTCTGATCTGGGCCCTTTCTCCCTCCCACATCTCCCCAGCTTCAAACACACACATAGCCAACTTCCTGCTGACATCTCCACCCAGATGCCCCATAAGCCCCTCCAGCTCAGCCAGTCCCAAATGGAAGCCACTTCCTGCCGCCACCAATGCAGGGCAGAGAACCAGCTTCTCTGCGTCTGGTTTTCTTCCCATCACTGGGGTTTGACTAATCCCTGGTTCCTTCCTCATCGGCCCTGCTGCATTTTCACCAGGTCCTGTCACAGGAGCTTCCACCACCTGCCCCTTCACTCCCTCCCTACTGGAAACACGTCTGCAGGTGTCTCCTCCCTAGGAAGCCTCCCCCTGCCCTCCTGGCTGGAATCTCCCTCTTTGTCCCCCACTTCTACCTGGGAGCACCCGGGTCACACATCTGTGGGCCAGAGCTGGCCTGCAAACAGGTAGGATGTTATTAATATCAGAATGTTCTTTTTTTAACTTTAAAGGGGTTTCCCACATTTAAAAGTTGGGCATTTTACATGAAACCCCAGTTTCTGCCCTAGCTACCCTGAGCTTCTTCCCAGCATGGCAACCTTGCCTGTTCCTGAGCAACAACTGGCTCCTCTAGAAGGAGTTCACACTCTCCTCAGAGGACTCTGGGGCCAGTCTGAAGCATTTCTGTTACTTACAGAAGCAGGTCCCAGACAACCTGAGTTCGAGTTTGTGCCCTGTGACCTTGGACAGGATACTTCATCTCTCTGTGCCTCACATTCTCCCTCTGTACGTGCTAAGTCGCTTCAGTCACGTCCAACTCTGTGCGACCCTATGGACTGTAGCCTGCCAGGCTCCTCTGTCCATGGGACTCTCCAGGCAAGAATACTGGAGTGGGTTGTCATGCCCTCCTCCAGAGGATCTTCCCGACCCAGGGATTGAACCCTCCTGTCTTATATCTCCTCTGGGGCAGGCAGGTTCTTTACCACTAGTGCCACCAGACTGGGCAAATAATGGTCCTGACTTCAAAGGCTTGCTGTAATTAAAGAAATTAAATATACATAGAGAGAACTCAGAGCACCACCTGGCATGTGGTAAATGTTCAAGGAACATAACTATTATTGTTGCAGTAGTATTGGTGTCTGACCCTGCTTCAACTTTCAGCTTTGCCAAGCCCTGCTGCAGAGGGAAAAGCCCCGGTACTGGGTCTGTTGGACCCGGATTCAGATCCTAGCCCTGTCCTCTTCTAGCTTTACCACCTTGGCCCCTCCTTGAGCCTGTCTCCAAGCTGGAGTGTGGGGATAAGACATTGCTGAGGAGGAAGGAAATCTTGTGCAGAGGGAAGCTGGGCGTGGAACCAAGCCGGGCACCCTCGCCTGGTCGCCCCAGCCTTCGCCCAGCTGCCTCTGCGCTCTCCCATCTGACAGCTTCATCAGAATTCTCCCCTGGGGCTGCGGGACAAACTCCTGGGGTGTGTGAAATGGACAAGCTGAAGCTCAAGATTCCTTCTAGCTGTTCTTTCCCTTTCCTGGCAGCTGCCCACATGGGCGGGGCTTCCCAGGTGGCACTAGTGGTAAAAAAATCGCCTACCACTGCAGGAGACCTAAGAGACACAGGTTCGATCCCTGGGTGGGGAAGATCCCCTGGAGGAGGGCATGGCAACCCACTCCAATGTTCTTGCCTGGAGAATCCCATAGACAGAGGAGCCTGGCGGGCTACAGTCCATAGGATAGCAAAGAGTCAGACCCAACTGAAACGACTTAGCACAAACTCATGCCCTCTTGGACACCTTCCTGCCCCGAATTCTTCCTCCCCAGGCTGCTCTGTGACTGTTTCCAGCCTTGGTCACCAGGTCAGGTCTCTAGGAACCATCCTGACTTTCCCCTCCTCATCCACAGTGGCCATCTGGCCCTCCCTCCTCCCGCACCCAACACCCACTGGCCTCTCTCTGGCCCACCCTCCAACCTGGACTCAGCCTCTCCCTTGCTCAGCGCTCTCCACTGCACTCTCCCCTGGTTGGGGGGTGGTGGTGGAGTAGCAGGATGCTCATGGGCAAGCCAGGACCCTAGGACCCCAGCCCAGAGGGGCCTGGGCTGGCTTACACTTGTTTAGTTCTTTACATCTTGTTGGATGGACTGTGTCTTTATTTATTTATTTTTTAAAATATGGAACGCTTCATGAATTTGCGTGTCATCCTTGCGCAGGGGCCATGCTAATCTTCTCTGTATCGTTCCAATTTTAGTATATGTGCTGCCGAAGCGAGCGCTGGACTGTGTCTTTAGATGGGGCTGGCTCCCAGGTCCTCTTCTGGTCCCATCTGCATCTGTTGCTGGGTTACAGCTTAAGCTCTGCCCCGGGCCTGACTGATGAACCTCTTCAGCCTCCACCATGGCCTCCCCCTCATCTCCACCCTCTGCTTTATCAGACTTTTATTTTCCCCACACCCCTTCACACTCCTGCTTCCTGCTTTGCTGTTTCCTCTGCCTGGTATCTGCTCCTGCTCCCGTTGCCCTACTGCTCTCCAGTCTCTGCCTGTTGACATGGGTTATCCCTAAATACCAGCTGCCCTGATCCTCTGTCCAATGCACGCTGCCTATTTATGTCTGGACCGCTCCTCTTCCATCCTGTAGCTCCTGGAAGGCAGGCCTGTACTACGGGAGAGAATTGGCCTGAACTCCCTCCATAAGGAGCACTCGCCCAAGTGCTCCCGAGCAGCCATGGGGGCCCACGTAGCCCTCCTCTGCCCTCGCAGGAGGCACTGGCACCCCTCCATCAGGGATTCTGTGGCTCCGGACCCCCCATCTCTGTGGCCTGCAGTTCTTCCTGGCCCTCTCTTGCCCCACTAGATGTTAACCCCATAGAGCTGGGGCTGAGACAGGAGGTGGCAGGGAGTGGGGACGGAGTCCAATTCCAGATCCACCATTCCAGGGCAAGTCACTTCCCTTCTCTGGGCCTCAGTTTCCCCCAGGGTAGTCTGAGGCTCAGCACTCGCATCCTCCGAGGTTGCCAGGAAGGGATGTGGTGGGCGTGCAGCGAGGAGAGTGGCTGCTGCTGCTACTCAGGGCTTTGACCTGTCCAGGCTCCTGGGCCTGGGGAAGTTGTGCCGAGCCAGGCTGGCCTTGCCCCACCCTGGCCTGCCTGAGGAGAAGTGGTGAGTGAATGGGAGAAAAGGGGAAGAAGGGATGAGGAAGGGTGTGGTGGCCAGTGGCGCCCCTGACCCATGATGTGGCTTCAGTTTGCCATAGTTTTTTCCTTGGAAATGGGCACTGGGGGAGTCGCTGGTGTCTGAGAATACCCAGGTGAGAGTGGCCCGATGTTTCCTGTGCTCTCTCCGACAGCAACGGCACACAGCCACGTTCTCCCTTCATCCTCACCTGGGGTGGTAGGTGTTATGGCTTCCGTTTTACAGATGAAACCCAAAGAAACTACACAGCCAGGGAGCACCCAAGTTGAAATTAAGGCCCCAGTGTGCCTGCCTTGGGAGCCTGAGGTCTCACCTCCATAGTTTCCTCCCTGCATGCACAGGAGACGTACCAGGGAGATGAGATCAGCCCCTGGGGTGTAGTTGGGCAAGGTTGATTGGGGTAAAAAGCTCAGGGGCTCCTGGATGAACTCTGCCCTCTGGAGGGGGTCAGACTTCAAAAGGAAGGCTGATTTACTGAGCAACTTCTGAACCAGGCCCTCTATACCAGCATCTCATTTCATCCTGGCTTGGGGTGACTAGGCTCCAAGGTCCTCTCTGGGAAGACCCACGGCTGCCCAGCTCTGCAGCCTGAGTCAGCCCAGTGGAGCTGACCCCTAGCCCTGAGCTGGATTCCAAGGTGCAGTGGGCTCTGCCTTGCAGGTCTTCCCCAGCAGGAAGACTAACTGGGTGCCCTGAGAGTGACAAGACTCAGCAACTCCAGGCTTTAGGCTCACCAGCCCCCAGGCCTGGTCCGTGTGCCCACATCCTGTTTCCCCGAGTCTAGGCATTTCCCCAAGCTACTCCCCGCTCTGGCTGGCACGTCCTTTCAGGACACCTTCCGCACCAACAATGCATGAAGCGACTAGAAAAGTTGGTTCTCCCTCCCAGGTCCTCCTCAAGCTTTCTCTCTTCCTGACCCACGCTCTTACCCAAACCTGCATTTTATCCCAGCGTTTCTGCTTGTGCCCTCTGTGCTTTGCCAGACCAGGAGCTGTTTGAAGGCAGGGGCTCGGGCAGTGGGCCTGGGTTCTGATGCCTGGGACAGGGCCAGCACTGAGCAGGCCCGAAGGAGGGGTTGTTGAATGAATGTGTGAGTGAACAAATGAAGCAGCAGCTGGGACTGTGTGACGGCCTCTCTGGGAGGGGGCTGGGAGCCATCTCTAAGTGACAGGTTGCATTGCAAGCGCCTGACAAGCTGAGTGGCAGAAAGATGAGGCTGACAATTGAAGCTGCCTCAGCAGGGAATGACAGGTGGGGGTGGCGGCAGGGGGAGGTAGGGGAGGACGAGGCAGGCAATTCTGGGAGGCGGAGGAGTCCTGGCATCGAGTCAGATCGGCCAGGTTCACAGGCAGGTCCCTCTACCTGCCAGCTGCCTTTAGCACATCATGTCCTCCTCTGAGCCTCCCTCATGAGATAACTCATGGAAGGAGGCTGACAGCTGGACCACATCTGTGGATATCTGAATCTGATGCCTGCCTGTCCCTCTCCATTTCAGCTGAGCATGGCTGCAGAAGCCTGCCTGAGGTCCAGTGAGTGGCTAATCTGTGACCCTCGGGATGCCAAGAGATAGCACAGAGAGTCAGGATGGAGTTGGGGAAGGGCAAAGATAAACCTGAGTGTGAAAGTTTCTGAGAGGAGCTGGGGTGTCCATGGACTTAAAGAAGCTATGGGTTGACATGAGATGGGCAGAAGCTGGGTATCTCAGCCCCCCGGCTGTCCTGCAATTCTGGGCACTGCTCAGAAGCATCAAGTCAGCTACCTCTGGGGTGGGCGTGGGAGTGGGCATGTTCCTCCTTGGCGTGGATGCCCTAGGAGGCGTGACCCAAGCCCCATGCCTCCAGGGAGTGTGAGGCCCCTGCGTGCTCAAACTTTCAAAGTTAGGTTGATGGTAGATAATGAGGGGGGGGACTGTGCCAGCCTGGAGGGGTTTGCCTCTCTCCTGCCCAACAAAGAGATCCTGGAGGAAAAGGTGTGGAGACAGGTCTTGGAAATTAGTAGGAGTAGGGGTGGGAAGTGGCTCAGCTTCTTGGTGAGGCAGGAGATCCTTGAAGAGGGGCTGAAAATGAGGGGGGCATTGTGCTGACATTTAATGGAGACTCCCCAGTAGGTCAAGGACCTCAGATTCATTATTCCACTTAATCATCTCAAGTGGAGGAAACTGAGGGTCAGTCCCTAGTCAGGGACAACAGAGCTGAGGTGAGAACCCAGGTCTCTGTGGACAGTACTAGGCTGGGGCTGGGTCAGAGACTAGGACACTGTCTGGACTTTCTGGAGTTTTTAGGAGGAGCAGGGTCTCTGCCAAGTGGGCTGGTGTCCAGGGGAAGAGACGAGAAGCCCAGCACAGCCTGTCCCGTCTGCTGAATGAATAAAGAAGCTGCCTCTCCAAGGGCATCTCTAACCTGGACCCCAAGCCACCAGAGGATTTAAGGGGTGGGGCAGTGGCAACAGCCAGGGCCATCCCAGGGCTCAGCTCCCCCCTAGCCTTCCTAGCAGCCCAGGAATAGAACAGACAGGAGTTGCAGGGACCTAGTATGATCCTGCTGACCCACCCCAGGCTGTCCAAGGACTGCTAGCTGTGGCAGGAAGCCTCTGGAGCAGGTCTCGGTGAGGGTGGTGACCCCGTAGGAGCTGCCCCTCACCTGATCGTGGACATCAGGATACCAGGTGAGGGAGGGGGCTGAGGCTAAGTGAGGTATGGGGGTTCAGGTCCCCGTGGGGGTATACAGGGGGCAAAGAGCATGCCAAGTCTGCCTGCTCCCCTAGGAAGCCGGCAGCCCCAGATGGTGCCTAAGTAGCAGGTGAGAGAGCAGCGGGGACTGGGCCAGAAGCCTACGGCTGTTCTCCTGCACTCTCATCCCCAAGGTGGCCCCAGGTCCCCATCAGAGCCATCTGGAAGGTCCTGGGGCGAGGGCAGTAGGTTCCACCACCTGCTGCTGTCTGTCCACAACTTCTCTAGCCCAGCCTTGCCGGGTGTGCCTGTTGGGCTCCACCCTGGGTGTGCCTACCCCCTCCCCGTGGGCCTGGCCCAGAGCCCGCACTCACCATGCGTCCATTGGGGACACCCAGGTGCTTGGGCTTCCCTGGCATGCCGCTGCTCTTCACGGGTCCCCGCCGCGAGGGGCGCCCACCATGGGGACTGCGGGCAGCTCCGGCCAGAGCTTGCACGATGACGGGCAGATGACAGAGAGAACCCAGGTCTGCTCCTGCGGGCCCTCACATCCTGAAACACCAGCTCACTACCTCTTTTCTCTGCCACAGGAAGTGTCTCTATAGAAACCGAACCACAGAAAGAAGCAAGGTCTAAGAGAGCGAATGTTTCTTCCTACACACACACACACACACATACACACGCAGGCGCGCACACATTCACGCGCACACACACATGCCGCCAACGCACCCTTGGCAGTGCCCCACGCAGGCACCAACACACAGCAGAGGCCTCTGTGTGCCCAGCGAGGAGCCCAGCCAAGTCTGGCCCATCTGGGGAGTTCCAAGGGCATGTCTGGGCACTCAGAAGTACATGTTCACACACCTGGGCGCCTTTGTACAAGCTGCAGGGGCTCCCGTGGACACCAGGACGTATGTACTGTGATCTGAGTGTCCACGTGTGTTCTTCACTTGGCACACACCTATCCCATACCTGCCGTGTGCTGGACGTATGCACACTCAGTGTCTTTCCCCCTGGCAGTTGTATACATACAGTTACCACCTCTGTCCTGAGATAGCTCCAGGCTGTCCTTCCCAGGCCTGTTACTGTGTGTGCAGAGAAATGTCCACATTGCAGGCATGGTCACGCACACACACCCCCTTTAGGTTCTCCTTCATCAGGAATATCTGGGCGTTCAGTCATGTGAATGCACAGTCCCTTGGACATGTGCGCGTGACAGTCACACATGTGCACAGGCACCTGTGAATTCAGGCACCCCAGTGACAGACACATACAATCAGGTATACACACACTCACCCACCTGGGCAGGGAACAGGTCAGGTTCCCAAAGACACCCGTGCATTCAAGTCACATAAGAGTCTCACCTTCATGGAGTATTGTTGACTGAAGAAGGGCACCCTGCCTCCACCGCCTGGCCCAGGCCCAAATGAACTCAGGAACTTCAGAGTCTTCGGTTGGCCTCTTTTTTATATGTGTGTGTATCCAGCATGGGACTTGTATTTTACCTCAGTGTGGGCTTACTTGGGACTTGCCTGGTGGCTTATCAGTAAAGAATCTGCCTGCAATGCAGGAGATGCGGGTTCTATCCTTGGCTTGGGAAGATCCCCTGGAGGAGAGCATGGCAACTCACTCCAGTTTTTGTCTAGAGAATCCCATGGACAGAGGAGCCTGGTGGGCTGCAGACCACGGGGTTGCAGAGTCGGACACGACTGAAGCGATGGAGCATGTACACACATATGGGCTTATTAGAGCTCTCAAGTCGCTTGCCACTCCAGTTTGGGCCCCTCTTTCTACAAGGATAAGGTGACACCCCCTCTTTCATATTATACCCTCTACTCTATTGCCCGCTTCTAGGGCCATGACCTGAAAACTTCAAAGGCAGAAACCAAGTGACTCTTCATGACAGATTTATGTCCACTTCTTTGGCACACGGCTAAGCTTTAGTTTCCCAGGCTCCCTCACAGTCAGGTGTGGCCCTGCACCAACTAGTTCCCATCAGCTGAATGTGAGTGCAGTGGAGGGTACCAAGGCTTTTACGTCCCGTGTGTCTTCCACATTCTTTCCTTTCTCTTTAGCTGACTGTATACAGAAGATGATGAAGCCCTAGGGGCTTGTGGAACCACAAGAAGGAAGGAGCCTAGGTCTCCACGTTAATGTAAGAAAGTAAGCCACCAGTCAACCAGGAACACCAGCTTTGGACTGTTCAGAGAGAGAGAGAGAGAGAGAGAGAGATCAACTTCCTCGAGCTGCTATACACATGGGGTGTATTTGCTATAGTAGCTAGCATTATCCTAGTTAATATACCTCTTTGCCCAGTTCTAACTCACTTCTTTCTAGACCGCTTGCTCCAGGCCACCAGATTGTCACTGCTCAGTCACTCAGTTGTGTCCAACTCTTTGCAACCCCATTGGACTGCAGCATGCCAGGTTTCCCTGTCCTTCACTATCTCCTGGAGTTTGTTCAATGCTCAATCTCATGTCTATTGAGTCATGAGACTCATCCTCTCATCCTCTGTTGAGCCCGTCTCCTCCTGCCTTCAGTAAGTCATTCTTGGTGTGTGTATTGGAAGTTGCATCTGGATCATTGTCAATGGTGGTCTTAAGTTCTGTGACAGTGTCAGTATATCTGTGACAGGGGGTGGTAGAGTGTGATTGAGTGGCAGCTGCCTGCCTGTCTGCTGTGCCATGGATCTGGGCCTAGATTCATAAGGCTTTAAAGTTTACAAAGTCTTCCCCCAACATGACCTCCTTTGATCCTCACAACCTGCTTGTGAATGGTGCTCATTGAATAATTCTATAGTCAGGAAACTGAGATTCAGAAGTGAGTTGCTGGGCTTCCCTGGTGGCCTAGTGATTAAGAATCCACCTGCCAATGCAGGGGATGTGGGTTTGACCCCTGGTCCAGGAAGATCCCACATCTTAAGCAACCAAGCCCATGCTCCACAGTTACTGAGCCCTCATACAGCAGCTGCTGAAGCCCGAGTGCCCTAGAGCCTGAGTAACAAGAGAAGCCACTGAAGTGAGAAGCCAATGGTTTGCAACAAAGAGTAGCGCCTGCTCAACACAACTAGAGAAAGCCCGCACGCAGCAGGGTTACACATCAAGGTGGAGCTCTGCTGAGCTGTGGGTGTGCCTGAGGTGCCAGGAGCTGGCCCTGGGCCACCGCTGGTCCAGGTTCCAACAGCTCATCTTCTTCCCCGCAAAAACTAATCACCCAGGTCCTGCCTGGAACCCCCACCTCCCTGCAAGCACATCCCCCCTTGCTGATGCAGAGATATGTCTTCCCACCACTACCACAATGGATGCCAGTTTTGGCACAGACTGAATCTTCACCCCAGGGACCTCCAGCCAACTCTGGGACTTCCCACCTCTCAGCCCTTGCTTAGTTTTCTCCCCTCCATAATGATGGTGATACTTCGACGTCACAAAACACAGTTCTCAACTTTTCTTGCCCTGTCTTCCCACAGGGGATTTGTTACTGACATCTAGTTTCCCTGTGGACTTCTGTTCCCCCTTCCCTGTGGAAACCTTCCTGGCTCAGGCCCGCCCTCTCTCATCTGGTCATAACACCTTACTTCACCTGTAACCTCCCTCCAGTCTTTCTCGCTGTAGCCAAGGAAACTCATGATTGGTCACCTGCATGCTTAAAACCATCCCATTGCCTTCTACTCCAGAGCTGGAATTGAAGGCTCTTTGAGTTCTGGCCTCAGCCATACTCTTTCCCCTACCACTCCTCAGCCATTCCAAACTGTAATTCCTTTTGCCTTCAGGGATCTTTCCTGGTCTTTTCATTTCCTGTTCCCTTTGCTAAGGATGCCTTTCTGGTAAACTCCGACTCATTCGTCAGCGTCTCTTTCCAGATTCTAGACCAAATATCCATTCTTTTACCAATTACTTATTAATCACCTTCTGTGTGCCAATCACTTTTCCAGATGCTGGGGATTCAGTAGTGATTAACAGCTGATAAAAATCCCAACCCTCATTGAGGTCCAAGTGTATGCATATGTCCTTGTTTGCATGTGTGTGCTGTGCATAGTTGCTCAGTTGTGTCCGACTGTTTAAATATGGATATTTCTTTGGGAGTGTATACCTCTTGGAAGAGGACTTTTGTTGTATATACGTCTGATGCTGTTGTTTAGTCGCTAAGTCATGTCTGACTTTTGTGCCACCACATGGACTGTTGCCCACCAGGCACCTCTGTCCATGGGATTTCCCAGTCGAGGATACTGGAGTGGGTTGGCATTTCCTTCTCCAAGGGATCTTCCCAACCTAGGAATTGAGCCTGCATCTCCTGCATTGGCAGGTGGATTCTTTACCACTGAGCCACCAGAGAAGTCCCATATAATTTTAAAAAGATGTCTTACTACTTAATCCTGAAGAAGTTCATTCATTCAAAAAGGCAACTTCTTGAGACTTCCCTGGTGGTCCTGATCTCAGGGAGGCATCAGTGAGTGGTGGCATGAAATGAGATCTAAATTCCCTACCCAGTAATTGAACCTGGGTAGCCTGGGTACCAGGAATCTTAATTGCCAGACCAGCAAGGGCTAGAGGCTAGAAGCTATTTTTCCTTGGATCTTTGCCCCCAGTGAAAAATGCACTTATCACAGAGGCAGAAACTATAAATGCAGGTACAGAGTTTATTATTGGAGACATAACACAACAACAAGTGGGAGAGCAAACAGAGAAATGCTTTGTTAAGATAGAAGCAAGGCAGAGATACACACTGGAGAGAAAGGGTGTGGGCGTCCCCATTAGTGAAGAGGAACACAACAAACAGGCAGTCAAGTCATTTATATAGGGCAGTTCTTCCAGGTCTTTGTCTTCCTTTAGGCCAATTATCTGGTTTCTTTTTTCACACCTGGCCTACCCTGGGATACTCCCCTGGGTGCGCTTGCACCCTTCAGCCAAAATGGATCTCTAAGTGAAGACTTCTGACAGGAGCAAGACTTACTATGGCCTGGCATTATCCCCTGATTTTTGACCCACAAGCAGCCTTTCTGCACAGGTGTAACATCTCCCTTGCCCCAAAAGAGGGGGGAACGGAGATCCTTTAATCCTCTACTCAAACAGGGTTTTGTTCCTCTTTGTCCTTGCCATGACTGTTACCTTAATGTGTTTACAAGAGGAAAACACTGGTTATTTACCCTGTTTCTGCTGTTACTTCCGTTTTGGAGGGCAAACAGGAAGCTGGTTGTAAATGCCTTAACTGGAGTCCACCTATCTCTTGCCTCAAGAAGTGCTAACAGTTGTTAGTATCCAGCCTGAAGCCCACTTCTTCATGCCCTATGAAATGCAAACAGGAAGCCAGTTGTAAATGTCAAACCTGGAGCCCATCTATCTCCTACATTGGTCCAGTGGCTAAGACTCTGTCCTCCTAATGTAGGGGGCCTGGGATCCATCCCTGGTCAGAGAACTAGGTCCTGCCAACTAAGAGTTCACATGCTGCAACTAAAAAAAATTCCCACATGCTACTACTAAAGATTGAAGATCCTGTGTGCTGCAATTAAGACCTGGAGCAGGCAAACAGTTGTTTTTTTTTTTTTTTTTAAAGATGTGTTGTTGAGGCAGAGAACAGCAATTTAAAAGAGAGCGGGGCCAACTTTTTAAAGAAGC